TTAAGATTTCAAGATATGCAAGGGTTCATGGAGATTTTGATCTTAAAACCATCAATATTAACATAACTCAACGTTTGAAATACTTTCATGCAAGAACCCAAGCTTAGAATTGAAATTGGGGTTTTCAGTGCTTTTGAAAAACATTGAAATTACTTTGATTTGGCTCTTTGATTGAAAGGAGAATCAAAGATAAAATCGCCATAAATTTGTCATTAATTTCCTTAGGAATTTGAAGGAGGAATCTGTAGGAACCCATCCCCTAGCTTGAAGCTTCATCAATGTCTTCCATGGAGTTCTAGAGAGAGAATTTATTTGAGAGGGAATGTTTAATTTAGATAATGAGGTCTAATTCTAGGTTTTTGGGTTTTAACCAACTTAAAATACCCTAAAATAGGTATAATAACCGTTTATAATAATTTCCCAAATTACCCCTCACTTAGTTGGACCTTTTAAACAAGTCAAACTTGAGTTTTATTTTCGCAGATTTCGTCGGGAAATAAGTTCGTGACGCGGTGGTGCTCCCACAACTTTTCTAGAAATTAAATTCGACACAATAGAGTCCGCGACATGTCTGCGACGCGGACCAAACTTTTGGCCCTTGGTGGAGCTAGTCCGCGACGCGGAGATGCTCCCTCCAAGCACAACTTCAAGCTGCCTTGGCAGCTTGCTTGGCCAAGGTTGGGGTCCTCCTCGGGTACCCTTAGGATGGCCCCCGGGGGGTCGTATCTGAAAGTTTTGACCCTAAAAATATTTATTAAGACACTAGGGTCACCTCCACTGATTTTAGACTCCAAACAACACATAAAAACATGAACAACATACTAGAACACACCAACACGTAAAAGACTAGTTTTCGAACGTCTTGGTCGTCCCTTGACGTTTGACTTCCAAACTCTTTAAAACTGACTTAAAGGGCTATTCTTCATTGTTTTGACAAGTTATTAATGCATAAAATCCATGTGAGGCTCTACTTTATCCTACTTTATTTTGAGGGTCGTTACACTAGCCAACCTAATACAAGTTAATCCTGCTACTGAGGAGGTCTACTGGGTCATCTGTAGGGACCTGCATGCATGAATGCAAATCCCCTCAGGCAATGGGGCATGAATGCAATGCCCCTCAGGCAATGGGGCATTAGTACGAAATAATGTACAGAGTATGAAAGGCTATAGACTAAATGAGCAAGTATCATAATATACCAAAAGCAATAAGGTAAGGAAATCAAAATTTAGATAATCATGCTAACCCACTGTTGAATCTAAAAAAACAAAAATGATCAAACAACAACCTAACCAAGCCTTCATAAGCTAGGCAGGTACAAACAACACGCCACCTACCTAGGCCTCCATAATCCCAGAAGGTGCCAAATCAATCTACATACCCCTATCCGTAGCCACTTGTCTTTGTAAGAAGTCACATAGCCCTTTTTGGCAACGATATATCCCCGTAGGTAGTTCATAGCCCTTTTAGGCAACATCATAGCTCTGTGGGCAGCACATAACCCTCTTTTGCATCAACATAGCCCTGTAGGTAACACATAACCCTCTTTGGCATCAAAATACCCCTGTAGGCAATACATAACACTCTTTGGCATCAATATAGCCCCGTGGGCAACACATAGCCCTCTTAGGAGGTAACATAATCCTCTTAGACAACATCATAGCCCCCATAGGCAGTTCATATCTCAACTGCTAACAACAATAGCACGGGGCTACAACAAACAATTGAATAGGCTAAAGGCGAGCAATTTAGCTTTAAACAATATATATGAATAGTCTCCAAGTAGTTCCTAACTTAGGGTCGTTCTTAACAGATCATGAGTCCATAAAATGAGGGTTTATAACCACTCAATCAGCCAACCACTTACAATTACATCTACAAGATCACCAACATTAACTACCCTATTATATCACTCCCAAGCTCCAAGGAAACATGTTGAACGAAGGGAATAGCCTTAACGTACCTTTTTCTTTATAATTTATGCTGAAAATACCTCTGTTTGCACCACTACAACACTAAAAAAAGTAAAATCAATAATTAAGGACAAGAATTACTACGACAATTCGACAATCGATACGGATTCCTATCGTAAATTATTATCTAAGAGTTAAGGTATCTATAAACCGATAAAAGATGGTTCCTACCTCTCTTTACATGCCCAGAACACTTGAATAAAATCAAAACACTGGAAAAAAAACCTGCTGCCACAACCTCCATGGAGCTACTCCTCTGAGACATTTGACCCAAGTTTCAGAGAAATATTTAAAAAGGAACTTAAGATAACTTTCGCTAACTTTTATTTTGTCATTTACCTAACTTCAAAACTTGATATACAACCCTTGAACACGTAAAATATGACATAACACATCATTCTTAATTTATTACTCACCCTTATTGTCTTTCCACGAAGGTACGAGTTAAATTAGAGTTCCGAAAAGTAGGGGTGTTACATCCTCCCCCCTTAGAAATATTTGTCCTCAAATGAAAAATCTAAGCCACACGATTAAGTCCTTACTAGTTTCCAAAATATGGCAAAGTGTACTCTATTCCCATAATGTCCAGAACCTGAAATGCAGAAGATTCCAACCTAAGCACCTCACAAGATGATACAAATAGCTAAGCACCATAGCTCCGCAATAATAGTACGAGCAAAATACAACAACATCAACAATAATAAGCAACAATAAAAAACTAAATGGATATCCTACCTCACTATGCTAATGAAGATTGATATTTTTACCATTGTGGGATCTAAAACAACTGAGGATATTTGGATCTCATGCCATCCTCGGCTTCCCACGTCACCTCTTCCCTATTTTTGTTTCTCCATAGTACTTTAACAGAAGCCACATCTTTGGTCCTCAACCTTCGGACCTGTCGATCTAATATTGCAACTAGATTTTCCTCATAGGACAACTCCTTCGTGATCTGAACATCCTCAATAGGCACAACCCTAGAAGGGTCTCCTATGCATTTCTGTAGCATTGATATATGGAATACCGATTCAAGCCTTGATGGCAACTATGACTCATACGCCACTTGTCCTATCCTCTAAAGGATCCGGTATGGCCCAATGAATCTTGGACTAAGCTTGCCATTATTTCAAAATCTCATAACACCCTTCTTAGGTGAGACTTTTAAGAATACCTAGTCATCAACACAAAACTCTAAATCTCTTCGCCGTACATCTGAGTATGACTTTTGGCAACTCTGAGCAGTCAATAAACATTTTTGGATGAGCTTAACCCACTCCATAGTCTGTTGTACAAGGTTGGGTCCAACCAACCTTGACTCACCTACCTGAAACCAGCCAATAGGGGATCTGCATTTCCGACTGTACAAAGCCTCATAAGGTGTCATCTTGATACTAGAATGATAACTATTGTTATATGCAAACTCAATAAGAGGTTAGTGGTCATCCCAACTTCCATTAAAGTCCAGCATGCATGCCCGTAGCATGTTCTCAAGTGTAAAAATGGTGCGCTCAGCTTGGCTATCTGTCTGAGGGTGAAAGGTTGCAGTGAGATTAAATTGTGTCCCTAATCCTTTCTGGAAAGACTTCCAGAAGTTAGCGGTAAATTGTGCTCCTCTATCCGAGATAATAGATATTGGGACGCCATGCAACTTAACAATCTCTTGGATATAAATCCCTGCATAATCTTTAGCTGTGAAAGTAGTCTTGACCAGTAAGAAGTGGGCTGATTTTGTTAACCGATCAACAATTACCCAAATAGAGTCAAACTTATGCCATGATCGAGGTAACCCCGTAATAAAATTCATATTAATTACCTCCCACTTCCATAAAGGAATGTCTCTCTCCTGGACCAGCCCATCAGGCTTCTGGTGCTCAACCTTAACTTGTTGGCAGTTGGGACAGTGTGCCACAAACTCAACAACATCTTCTTCATCCCGTGCCACCAATATATTTATTTAATAACATGGTACATCTTCGTTGATCCTGGGTGAATAGAATACCAGGAATGGTGTGCCTCTCCCATAATTTGTTGTCGAAGCCCTACCACATTTGGAACACATAGTCGTCCTCTATATCTGAGGACTCCATCTCTTGCTATATCAAAGGCTAATGAGTCCTTATCATTAAATTTGCCTCTGAGCTACTCTAAGTAGGCATCCTCATGTTGTCTGCCTTCACTTCCATGATTAAAGATGATACAATTATTTTCTGAACTCTGACCCCACTATCACTTGCCTCTTTTAATCTGACTCGCAAGCTAGCTAATTGATGAAGTTCTCGAGCTAATTCACGTTTCTCAACACCTAAATATGATAACCTTCCCATTGATCTATGACTGAGGGAATCAGCTACCATATTTACCTTCCTTGGATGATATAAAATATCTACGTCATAGTCTTTCAGTAACTCAAGCCATCGACGTTGTTGAAGATTCAATTCCTTCTGTCTAAAGATATACTGAAGACTCTTATGATCTGTGAAAATTTCCACATGAATTCCATATAGATAGTGTCTCCAGATCTTCAGTGCATGCATAATCGCAGCCAACTCTAAGTCATGAGTTGGGTAGTTTTTCTCATGCTTTCTCAACTGCCTTAAACCATATGCGATCACTTTATCATGTTGCATCAGAACACATCCTAACCCAATACTAGAAGCGTCGCAGTACACTGCATAGACCTCTGAACCCTTCGGTAAGGCTAGGACTAGTGCTGATGTCAACCTATCCTTCAGCTCCTGGAAACTATGCTCGCAAGCCTCAATCCACTGAAACTTAACTGCTTTCTGAGTCAACTTTGTTAGTGCTGCTGAAAGTGAAGAAAACCCCTCTATAAACCTTATGTACTACCCAACTAACCCTAAGAAACTATGAACCTCTGTCGGAGTTGTAGGTCTAGGCCAAATCTTCACGGCCTCAATCTTATGTGTATCAACCATAATTCCCGCATCTAATACAATATAGCCTAGAAGCGACAAAGCTCAACCAAAACTCATACTTAGAGAACTTTGCATTAAGTTCTTGCTCTCAAAGAACCTGAAGGACTGCTCGCAAATGATCCGCATGCTCAACTTTTGAATGCGAATAGACCAAAATATCATCAATAAATACAATCATAAACGTATCTAGATATGGCCTGAATATGCTATTCATCAGGTCCATAAACACTGCTGGGGCATTGGTCAATCCAATAGACATAACCAAAAACTCAAAATTCCCATATCTAGTTCTAAAAGTTGTCTTCGGAATATCTTTCTCTCGAACTCGTACCTGATGGTACCCTAATCTCAAATCAATCTTTGAGAAGTACTTAGAACTTTGTAGTTGATCAAACAAGTCATCGATCCTCAGAAGGGGATACCTATTCTTTATAGGAGCATTGTTCAGCTGTCGATAATTGATACACATCCTCAGCGAGCCATCTTTTTTTCTCACAAATAATACTGGTGCGCCCCATGGTGAAGCACTGGGCCTGATTTATCAAGCAAATATTTCAGCTGATCCTTAACTCCTTCAGCTCAGTAGGAGACATTCTATAAGGAGGGATAGATATGGGTTGTGTACCTGGTAGCATATTGAAAGAAAAATCAATTTCCCGTTGTAGAGGGAATCCAGGAAGCTAGTCTGGAATTACATCTAGAAACTCATTAACTACCGAAATAGACTGAAGAGTCGGTGGTTCTGCATCTATATCATGAACGCAAACAAGATGGTAAATACAACCCTTACTAATCATCCTCCTCGCCTTAAGATAGGAAATAAACCTACCTTTCAGCATTGCTGTATCGCTTTTCCATCCCCGAACTGCCTCTCCTGGAAAGTGGAATCTAACAATTTTTGTCCGGCACTCAACATTAGCATAACAAAACGCTAACCAGTCCATACCCATAATGACGTCAAAATTGACCATCTCTCACTCTACCAGATCTATAGAGGTCTGATGGTCGCTAATATCTACCGTGCAACCTCGATAGACTCTCTTGGCAATACTAGACTCACCAACTGGTGTAGAAACAATAAAGGGTCGATCTAATGACTCTGCTACTATACATAACTTCCTCGCAATAAATGGAGTAACATAAGACAGAGTAGATCCAAGATCCAAGATCTATCAAAGCATAAGCACAATGGGAGCAAATAATTAATGCACCTATCACAACATCCGGTGATGACTTTGAGTCCTGTCGGCTGACTAGTGAATATGTACGGTTCTGGCTACTACAATAACTAAATGCTTCCTCTTTGCTTCCACCTCTGCCTCTATCTGCTGAAGTCTGGGGTCTACGCCCTGTAGACTATGCTGATGAGGAGGAACCTACTACTGACTCGGTCGACTGAGCTATACCACACTGACCTATGGTCGGGCAGTTCCTCCACCCATGCCCCTATCGCCCACAAGAATAACAACTTGTGGAACCCTACCTGAACCTCCCGAAATGCATCTTACCGCAGGTAGCACAATGCGACGGGGCTATCCTAGCCTGGCCTGAACCCCTTTGCTGCTGAGAGCCTGAATCTCGTGAACCCTCACCTTGGCCTGACTGTCCATGATGATCAAGTCTACTACCCTAGAGCTGCTGTGGTGGAGGTCTAGGTGGCCTACTAGAATATCGGGGTCTGGGACCACCCTGAAAATCTCCCTGTGAACCAACGGGCCTAGTCCTCTTCTATCTCTCTCTCGACCCTCTCACTCATATATACTGTAGATGTCGGCGATTTTCTATGCCCTATGCAAAGGCTTGAATTCATGAGATATCCATATTATCATTTAGTGCAGAGGTAGAACAAACGTCGATATAGTCTGAGTCAAGCCCTCCCACAAATCTACGCACCCTGTTATGCATCGTATCAAAAAATGCTGGTAAATATCTAGCCAATGAATCAAATACCATCCCATACTCTCAAACACACATGCTACCCTGTCGGAGGTTTAGAAACTGGTCCACCCAGGCATCCCTAATATCTCGAGGCAAATAGTGATCTATGAAAGCTTTTGTAAAGCTATCCCAGATGGGTAGAGATGCATCTTTTTCCCTAGTTCTCTCCCAACTTTCGTACCACAATATTTCAACATCACGAAATCAAAATGCTGCTAGCTCAGCTGGTTCAGTCGCTGAGGCATGCATGACTTTGAAGATCCTATGAAGCTGATCAATAAAGTGTTGAGGGTCCTCTCTGCGATATGTACCTATAAACTGTGGAGATTCAAGGCGAGAAATTCACGAGCTCTCAAACTTCTGAGCCCTTCAAAAGGTCCGGCAACATCTAACGCAACTGGCTGGTGTTGTGCAGCTACTAATTGTACTAACATACATACCGCACTCTTGAAATCCTGATCATATGGAATAGGAGAAACTAGAGGTGGTACAGATGGGGGAGACGGGGTCCTGTAGCCCTCGGAGGCTCTTGAAGCGGTTGTGAAGCTATAAGGGCTGAGAAAATGTCTCCCCGGGTCGAATAATGGGCTATGCCACCTATGGTACCTTGCCGGTACCCTCGCCTACAGTTGTATCTAGCCCCTATCTAGTTGTGGTCTATCTGGTGTCAACCATCTCTATCTGCATATAAAGATCAATTATAAGCAAGAAACCTCAACCCTTAGGACACCGCTCTATAGCACGAGGTGAGCAAAAGAAGGATAGTCATTCTAACATGCCTGATAGCTTCTTGCTTATCGAATGTGGTGCACAACACATTTATAAATAAGACTCTACTAGACACGACTTACAGACTCCCTAGGATACGACGTTGCTCTGATACCAAGTTTGTCACCCCCAAACTCAAGGGGCGAAACTGGCTCCTAATGCCAAACCTCAGGCCGAGCCAACCCTGCTAAACCATTTGTTACTAGTGCATGGTAGCCACACGCAATCAAGAAAACAAACAGTTATATCTCTGCTTAAAACTAAACCCTCGGCCGGCAAGGCCCCTGTTAAAAGATCCATAAAAGAAACAGCTACTCCCAAGAGTTCATATAAAGAAATAGCCAACTAGCACAGAAGTCCTGATTGGGCGATCAAGCCCACCATGATCTCTGTACCAAAACTGAATGCAGGTATAAATCAAGACAATACATCAAACAATGCACAAGCTTCAGCAAACCAACAAACTAGGCTAGCATGGCCATAACGTAGCTATACACCCCACACACTAGTCTGCAAGCCTCTAAAAGTGGTAAATATTGGTTGGACAGGGCACCAGCCTACCCATAAAAATATATAAAACAAAAGCTAACAAACCTCCCAACTCTAGCAACTCCGAAGGAAAGAGGATATGCAACCATATAGAAGTCAATCTTGCTGCTGAGGAGGTCTACTAGGTCGTCTTTTAGGACCTGCATGCATAAATGCAGCGCCCCAGGCAATGGGGCGTCAGTACGAAATAATGTACAGAGTATGAAAGGCTATAGACTAAATGAGCAAGTATCATAATATACCAAAAGCAATCAGGTAAGGAAATCAAAATTTAGATAAACATGCTAACCCACTACTGAATCTAAAAATACAAAAATGATCAAACAATAACCTAAAAAATCCCCTATAAGCTCGGCAGGTACAAAAAAAACACCACCTACCTAGGCCCCCATAAGCCCGGAAGGTGCCAAGTCAATCTACATACCCCTATCGGTAGCCCCTTGTCTTCGTAAGAAGTCACATAGACCTTTTTAGCAACGATATAACCCCGTAGGCAGCGCATAGCCCTCTTAGGAAACATCATATCTCTGTGGGCTGCACATAGCCCTCGTTTGCATCAACATAACCCTCTGTGGTATCAAAATACCCCCGTAGGCAACACATAACACTTTTTGGCATCAATATAGCCTCGTGGGAAACACATAGCCTCTTAGGCAGTAACATAGTCCTCTTAGACAACATCATAGCCCCTATAGGCAGTTCATAGCTCAACAACTAACAACAATAGCCCCAAGGGCGGCAACAAACAATTGAATAGGTTAAAGGCGAGCAATTTAGCTTTAAACAATATATATGAATAGACTCCAAGTAGTTTATAACTTAGGGTCATTCTTAACAGATTAGGATTCCCTAAAATGTGGGTTATACACTCAATCAGCCAACCACTCAGAATTACATCAACAATATCACCAACATTGACTACCTTATTATATCACTCCCGAGCTCTAAAGAAACATGTTGAACGAAGGGAATAGCCTTAACATACCTTTTCCTTTATAATTTATGCTGAAAATACCTCTGTCTGCACCACTACAACACTAACCAAAATAAAAATCAATGAGTAATTAAGGACAAGAATTACTACAATAATTCAACAATCAATACGGATTCCTATTGTAAATTACTATCTAACAGCTAAGGTATCCATAAACCTATAAAAGATGGTTCCTACCTTTCATTACACGCCCAGAACACTTGAATAAAATCAAAACAGTGAAAAAAAACCCTGCTGCCACAACCTCCACGGAGCTACACCGCTCAATTCACCATGAAAACTATACCAAAACGACGAGCTCGCGTGTAGGGCAATTTTTGATAAGGAGCCAAGAATAGATCATGAACGAATGGTTTGATGCGTTGGAAACTAGACTCATAGACCTTCGATTTTCTAGGTCATGGACCCCATAACTCTTTATAGATTGGGAGAAAACATCCAAAATATTTGACCCAAATTTCAGAGAAATATTTAAAAAGGAACTTACGATAACTTTCGCCTACTTTTATTTTGCCACTTACCTAACTTCAAAACTTGAGATACAACCCTTGAATACTTAAAATATGAAAAACCACATCATTTTAATTTGTTACTCACCCTCTTTCTCTTTCCACAGAGGTACGAGTTAAATTAGAGTGCCAAAAAGTCGGGGAGTTACAGCCAAGAGCACTCGGCGAGCCACTGAGTTGCTCTTTAGCTCTCCTAAAGTTCCAGAAGACCAGCCCTAGGGAAGAACCTACTTAGCGACGGAAATGGACAGTCGGCGAACCACCAAACGGGTTGGTGATCTCAATCCCGATCACCTAAAATCACAGAACTCTGAGGATAAAAGGTCAACGCAAATCGGTGATGGAATGGAGCAAAAGGCGCCTCGCCGACTTGGTTGGCGATGCTCGACTTACTTCGCCTAATGGTCTTTAAGTCCAAAAGTTGTGAAACTATAAATTGAATTTTAAAAAGAGTTATTGGAGAGTTCCGAGAGTGGGGAGTTTTTCTCTGAGTTTTTGAAGTTTTCTCGAGTTTTCCATTGTCGAACATAGAGCTTTTGAGACTTGGTTTTAAAGAATTGTCATTTGGATTTTTGAATTAAGTTGATTTGAAGCATTGTAGAGATTTGGGAGCAATTACACAGCTCATGACTAACATAATTGGTAATTGTGTCTTCCTTTTTATGATGTATGGCTAATACCCCAATTATTGGGGTGTGATCATGTGATTATTGGCTTAATTAGCTTATAGGTATTGTGATTTACTTATTTAAATGCTTAATTGAAGTGGGTTTAATCGATAGTTGTGTATTAATCTATGAATTGTAGTTGCAAATGCAATTATAATTTAGTGTGTTGGGCCTGCTTGAGAAAAAGGTTTTAGAACCAAGGATTTTGAGTAATAATTGTAGCTATTGGGTCAGCTCGAGAGAGTTAATTCTAAACTTGATTCTACCTATCTAGCTCGAGAGAGTAGATAAATTAAGGTTTTGGGCTGTTCTTATTTGATAACGTCCAAATATACCTCTTGAAAAGAAATATAAACGATCGTATGCAATATATTTACACAACTATGAGTCGGGGTCGATCCCACAGAGAATATAGAAGATTAATGTCAATAGAAAATATTTAACTCGATAGTCGTTATATAAAAATGGGGGGATTTAAATTGAAATCAAATAAAAACAATAAAAAGATAGCTTTGAACTAAGTATTTATTTATATTCAGATTATTAAAAGTAACTAGGAATGTCTTCCCCATAAGCTTATAACGCGGTAATCCTAATAATAGTAATCCTTTTCTAGTGTATTACATGCAAAGTGATAAGTTAGGTATCTCTAAATCCTTGGTCCGGCATCTAGAGAATTTCACCCCGCACCTTGGTCCGGCTACGTGTGTATAATTTACTAACCCTTACCTTTACCTCATATTAGACATCATAATCAATGTTTGGCTTAGTTATTACTTCGCACCAATCGAC